GGCATTCAATAAATGTTTAACTTTGTATAATATACCAATGGTTCTTGATATTTTCATGTTTACTGCTGTAATGTGATTCTTCCAGGTAAGATTCTGATCAATTATAATTCCTAAAAAGTTTATATGTGTCACTTGCTCAAGTATTTTATTATTCACAATGACTGATATCATTTTTATTATATTGCTTTTGTCTAGAAGAAAATATGATATATTTAGTTTTCTTTGCATTTAACGAAAGTTTATTTGTGGCTATCCATTCCTCAATTAGTATCAATTCAGCATTCAAAGCATTGGTAATATCATTAAGATTTTTTCCTTGTATTAACAGATTCGTATCATCTGCAAATAGTACAAAAAATAGTCGAGGAGAAGATAGGTAGATGTCATTGATGTATATGATAAAAAACAAGGGACCTAGCACAGAGCCCTGAGGAATTCCACATGTGATTGACTCGGGATCTGAAATAGTGTCTATATAACAAGTTTTTTTAATTCTATTAGAAAAGTAACTTTTTACCCATTCCAGCGCTACTCCTCGTATTCCATAGAAATCGAGTTTTTGAAAGAGGATATTATGGTCAATAGTATCAAAAGCTTTAGAAAAGTCAAGAAATACACCAATAGAGAATTCACCTTTGTCTATAGAATTTCTGATTTTTTCAACAAATGTAAGTACTGCCATGAATGTTGATTTTTTTTCCCGAAAGCCAAATTGATAAAGATACATTATTTCTATTTTATCAAGAAAAGAGGTCAGTCGATGGTGCATAAGTTTCTCAAGTAATTTTGAGAAGACTGGTAAAATCGATATAGGTCTATAATTATTAAAAAGCTGTTTGTCCTCCTTTTTATGAATTGGTATTATCTTCGCAATTTTTAATTTGTCAGGAAAAACACCATTTGTAAGAGATAAATTGAAAATATGTAATAATGGTAATTGGAATTCCTTACCACAATGCTTAATTATGGAAGGTTTGAAATCGTCAAAACCGGCCGCAGAGTTTTTCAATTTTGATAATTCCACGTTTAATTCATTGGAGTCGATCGGATTCAAAAATAAAGTTGAAGCTTGTCTACCAATATTATTCATGTAGTCTAAAGGACTTTTGTTTGAAGGAGGAATCTTTGCTGCCAGGGTCTCACCTACCCTTGAAAAGAAAGAATTAAACTGATTAGCAATGTCTAATTTATTTGTTATTTCAGTATTATTATGGAAGAATGTGTCTGGGATATTGTGATTTTTATTTTTCCTTTGAAGAATTTCATTAATAATTTCCCAATTAGCTTTAATGTTTCCTTGATTTTCCTCAAATTTTCTGTTAAAGTAATGCTTATGGGCTGATCTTATGATATTTTTTAACATTTTAGAATAAACTTTATAATTTGCCTTATTTTGATTTGTTGGTGTACGAAGATATTTTTTATATAATTTACTTTTTTGTCTCACCGATACAAGAATAGCTGAAGTAATCCAGGGTTTTTCATTATTATTATAGGACTTAAAAGATACCAATTTGATTGGAAAACTTTCATCATAAATTTCTTTCAGGCGTTCTTCAAAAAAATTGTAGGAAGTATTTGTATCATCGCTATTCATTGTATCTGCCCATGATTCTTTGGCTAATTTTTCTTGAAAGGTAGTAAGATTATTTTCAGAAAATTTTCTAATTGATTTTTGAACAATTTTAATCTGCTGAATTGGTTTATTAAAAGTAGCAAAAATAGGGAAATGATCAGAAATGTCATTGAAAATTATTCCACATAGACCAGTTTTAGTATCATTTGTGAAAATGTTGTCGATTAATGTTGCTGTACTTGAAGTTACCCTGGTTGCTTTATAAATAAGTGGTATTAAATTGTAAGACGTCATGATATTATAAAAATTTTCAGTTGACTCATGCTGGTTGGTCTTGAATAAATCAATATTAAAATCCCCCATTACATAACTAGTTTTGTTTTCTCTTGAAAGATTATTTAAATAAACGTCTAGACCATTATTAAATTCTTCTATATCTATATTAGGAGGCTTATAAATGCAAGTTAAGAGTATATTTTTACCATTGTTTACAATAATCTCAATTGTAAGTACATCACAGCCAAAATTATTAAATTGAAGATCTGGTCTTTCTTTAACATTAATTGTATCTTTAATATAAAAACCAACACCACCCCCTCTAGTAGATCTTGATTTAAAATATCCATTGAAATTCATTAATTTAGAATATTGTGAATTTTGATCCTCATAAAGCCATGTCTCAGAAAGGCCAACAATTGATACTCCCTTCTCAAGTGATGACAATAGATTAACTAACTTCCATTGATTTGATGGCAAACTTCTAATATTACAGTGTACTATAGACATATCTACATTGTTTGTTGCATTCAGATTATTATTTAACTCAGTTAAAGTAACATATTGACTTTTTGTCATAATTTCATTGGTTGTAACATCAAATCCAGGAGCATCATTCATTTCCTCTTGTATTTCAAGTGGGTTGAAAAGTTTATTCTCAAAATGTGCAAGTAAATTGCCATTTGGAGCGGCCTCTATGAAATCATTTTGGTCATTCACTTTGTAAAAAGGCATTTCCGACCATGGGCATGGCACTGGGATAATTATATTATCCCCCATCTAGTAAGTAAATAAGTACATGCAGTGACAGATCCCCTATATTATTACACAAATGGTTTGAAAAAATTATGGTATGCAAAAATATGCAAAACTGCATATATGGCTACTAGGAGTGCAGTTACACTTGTGTGTTGGTCTCTCTGCACAAAAAAACAAACATAAAATGCGACACATAAATCTAGAATTGTGTTACCATTAACCATACTACTTAGGTTATAATGAAAGAGATATAAATTCAATTCTTAGTATTTCAAAGAGCAACCATGTAGAGCCGTAACATAAAATGCATAAAATAAGTATGTGAAGACTGGTAGCATGTATGAGAAGTCAAAGATAAAGTAAGCAGTGAACGCAACGTTTGTATATACAACATCAAAACAATCAATATCATTGCAATATATACCAATATACCTCATTAATGTATCATATCAAAACAATCTATATCATTCCAATATAATATATACCAAGTCTCACTAATGCATCATATTATATCAGAACAATAAATATTATTTTAATATATACCAAATCATATCATAACAATCAATATTATTTCAATATATACCAAATCTATTATTTATGTATCATATCATATCAAAACAATCATTATCATTTTTATTTATACCAAGTCTCATTAATGCATCACATCATATCAAAACAATCAATATTATTTTAATATATACCAACTCTATCATTAATGCATCATATTGTATCAAAACAATCATTATCATTTTATTTATACCAAGTCTCATTAATGCATCACATCATATCAAAACAATCAATATTATTTTAATATATACCAACTCTATCATTAATGCATCATATTGTATCAAAACAATCATTATCATTTTATATATACTAGAGGTGTCAAGTATTAACCGGTTAACCGGTTAACCGCCGATAATGCCTTGACCGGTCTGTGTTTTTATGGGCGGTTAGTTGACCGTGTATAATTCTGTTATTTCCCGCGCTTATTTTGCATGCTAATCCGTTTGGTTTTATGGTGTCAGTTTCACGTAAGCTACTCATACATGTCATAAGTCCGATAACTCCTTACAAACATCCAATCGGCAACTTTAATCCCTGCCACATTGCTTTCCCGCGCTTACTTTGCATTTTAATCTGTTTGTTTTTCAAGCGTCAGTTTCATGTGAGCTACTCATACATGTGATAGGTCCGATAATTCCTTACAAACATCCAATCAGCAACTTTAATCCCTGCCACATTGCTTTCTCGCACTTACTTACATAGAATAGAGTAAAGCTTGACGAACGTAAAAAATAAACGCCGATATATCATTTTTCCAATTTTTTCAACTTTCAAGATCGAAGATGAAGATTTCATTTGAAATTATCAGTTCAAATTTCCCGCCGGTTAACCGACTTTAACCGGTAAAAGCCCCCGGTTAACCGGTTAATGCTCAAACGGTTAATTGACACCACTAATATATACCAAGTCTCATTAATGTTTCATATCATATCAAAACAATCAATATTTTAATATATACTGATTCGAATGTGTTTCTCATTCACTAAACACAAGATGCAACAAGAATGCCTTGTATCCTAAACTCTCAAAATGGCTATACTCAAATTGAAGGAACTCTAGAGTAGGTCACAATTATTGTATTGTTTTCTAATTGTGCCTCAGAAAGCAGGAAGTTGCTATAATTTAGAGATCTAGCTCTTCATGATTTGCTATTATATTACTGTAGATCTCAGATATCATATTGTCTTTATGGTTTGTGACTTTGAAATTCCTAAATGGTCACCAAAACCCTCAAATCAGTGGAAATTATGATCAGGCCCATGCTTAACTTTTTTATTAGGTAGTTGTTTCACTACTTAAATGAATTTTCCAAGTACATTGTAGCTATTTGAGAGCAGGTAGTGATGATTGTTTTGATGAGAGTGATCTTTATTCTTTTAATTTACAAGAACAATAATAATATATTACATGTATACTTACCCAGATATTCTATGATTCACCGCGATTTCCATGCACGCTTCATTGATTGGCTGATGTTGATTATGATTGCTTATGATTTCGCGCAATTGTTAAAGTTGGGAGCCAGTTCGAACAAGAATCAACAAGGATCTTATCGACAAATCAATAGAAAACTCATGTATTTTCACAAAGAGAGTTAGGTGAGGTACTGGTGAAATTTAAAGCTAACTGGAGAAAATGACAAGTAGTGTTTTTGGGTAAAATAGGTAGCATATCCTTGGAGTTGCCGATTTCTAGTTTAATCATTTACTCATAAGATTGCATTTCCCAAATAAAATACCAGGCCTAATAATGAACTTTTTTTGCAGGAAGATGAAATAAATTGAAATTAAACATTAACTTAACGCTTATGATATTGCCTTTTAGGCTAGAGGTGTGGAGTACTACATGTGATACAACTGCACATCTTACCAACTAGAGATTTAACAATACACAATAAAGATCGTCCAACACATTTCTTGATACCATAAGATCAGTTCCTTAGGTCACTGAACATCTAATCTAAATACAGCATTTCTATGAACAGGAGTTCTTGATGGGTTATCATGACATCCTTTGAAATGGACCACTTAGATGATGACCAAAAGCAAAGACTTTTGCTGGAATCTGTAAGTATTTAATGTAATTAAATGTGATTTCTGGTTAATGTTCATTGTGCTGTATGTGCAAATGATGACATCTGTTCAAAAACAATGCACTTTTAAGTACTGTATTATGCTCTACAGTGAAATAAAAATGAAAAATGAATACAAAATGCAAGTGTTTAAATTGTAATTTGATATATACAGTTTTCAATGATAGAGTACACATGTTGAAGAGTTGATCTTTTTGATCTTTTCTCAAAATATAAAAGACATTAACATATTGGACTTTGGTTTTAATGTAAAACAAACAAATACAAATTGGTTGTATTAAGTGATGTATATTTGTCAACTACAGTGAGTTGTCCAGTATTTTTGAATCATTTGTATAAAGTCAAACTCAATCATTTTTTATTAAAAAAAACAACACAAGGTAACCCCCCCCCCCCCTTGGCAAAAGCTGGTTACAGGCCTGGTGTGCTTTATAGGTCTGTCTGACATCTCTTTCAAAATTGGAAACACATTGATTTTTGGTAATCCATGCATTTAGCTATCATTGTTGTTTTTGCCAGGATGCAAATACAATATACTCTTTTGTGATTCCTGTAATTTATGGTTCAAAATAAAGAAAAATTGATACAAACAGGTTTTGTTTGGTGGAATTTGTAATTTCATGGTGTTCCAAGTTTACAATGTGTCTTGATTTTTGTATTTTTATTTTTTGTAGAGATACAAGCCAATCTTTGATAGGGTAAGTATATATTTTCCATCTGATAATATCTACTACATGAGCGCTCAATTAATTTAATTATGTCAGGATACAAGCTTTATCAATTCAAAGATGAACATCTGATATATAAATAATGTTAAAAATTAAGGAAACACTTTCAACATGGACAGAATAAAAGTACATTTTTATAATTTCAAGTTCTAGATGTGTAAAATTAAAGAACCAGGTCAGATTTGGTCCTGAAACAATTCTTCCTTGATGTCATAATTAAGAATGTGAATAAGTTTTATTATTCAGGCTGTATTGTAGTGTCCTATCATTCATATTGTATCGTAAGATCCATATCATACATGTAGACACTGTATTTGTATTCACAACATCTATCTATTTCACATAATTCCATGTTTTTTAGGAAAGCAGGGATTTTTGTTAATTTTGAGGTCTGTCTAAAGTATAGCTTTATTATGTTTTTCTGACTTGTGCCTCAGATAATTCATAATGGCTGCCTTAAAGGGGGAAGTCGCTTAGAAATATCCTCAAAGTATGGTTATATTATACTACAGAAGTATTGTACTGTCTTTATGATTTGTGCCATTGATACTCCTAAATGGTCACCCAATTGCTTAAATTGGTGAAAATTCTGATCTCCAATGTCTGTTTTTAGCTCACATGATGAGCTTTTTTTTTATTATCTGCATATCATTTTGTTGTGACATATAAAGATTAATGAATGTGAATTAGTTTGTTTGCATATTCTGGTTTGCAGCATGAACATGAAGGAGGGGTGCCACTGAAGAGTCTGCGGCAAGAAATGGAGGAAGTTGGTGGTAGCAAATTGCCTAGAGGAAAGATGGAGCTGCTCTTAAGACGTGCGGATGAATATCAAGATGGGAAGCTGGAATTTGGTGAATTCATCAGAATTGTAAGTGTCTTAGTATACAATAATAGCATGCATTTATATAAAAATGCTTTAACTATGCTATCTTCCATATAATGAGAATATGAAAATTTGCAAAGGATATGTCTAGGACTCAACCTTAAATGTAATTCTTAAAGTGGTAATAAAATGGGTTCTCTTAATTCTGATCATATTCATTCATTCTTACATTATTAGTAGTAATGACAAATGATTACTTCAATTTTAGAATATTTTGAATATCATTCCTTGTCATGTCTTATTTTCTAAATATTGAATTCTTATAATAATGCATTTACATGTATTTGTTTAGAAGTATGATTCCCATTTTTATTATTTTGGAGTAATTCACAATTTTTTCTCTATTTTGGCACTTAAAATCCTTAATCACTTCTCCAATGCATAATAACATGTCATGAACTATCAGGATATATCATATTTGAGATTGAAAGGAATATATTAGTTGGTCAATTGTGCATGTTGCTTGCAATTTTGTCACCGATCCCTGTAGATCTGATTCTGCCTGTAAGGTAAATTTGTAAATATTTTGTAGATGACTGCAGAAACAGGAGATCGTCAGCTTACTGCATTTCAGAAACTGCTAAAAATCTCACTTAATGGAGTTATCCCAAGAAATGCACAGAAGAAAAGGATGGAGTATTATCTTGATCACTATAACTGCTGCCCTCCACCATTGTTTATGATCTTTATAAGTCTGGCAGAGGTAAGAAAATATATCTTAGATTTTTAGTCTATTAATTATGTTAACTTCTTACTGCAACATGTACTGACTGATTCGCATGAAGCAAAAATGGCCAGCGAACCTGGGAATTATATAGAGGGAACTGGATGACTATAGGGTGCAATCAGCCAATTTTTTGATTTTTTAGATGAGGTTGGTTGCAGCGAGCTTTTTTAGTTTAAAGATAAAAGTTATTTTAGGCCTCTTGGGATATAACTACCTAATTCGAAATACAAAACAAATTATTCAATTCTATTCAATTTTCTCTCAATGTTTTCAGATAGGTGTATTTGTGTTCTATGCAATAGAATTAAAAGGGATGGGGGTTGAAACTACTGCCTCCTCAGGTTTCCCCTGGTACAGTCCACTTATATACAAGCCACAGAGAAGATATGAGGCCTGGCGCTTCCTCACTTATATGTTCATACATGTAGGGTAAGTGATAACAACAATGTTGGACTCATCGTGGGAGAGGACAACAGCATGTGCTCAATTGTTGGTTAGCTTGGTACAGGGTGAATGTTTTCATAGATAATCTTTTCTGTTCCATGCTATTTTGAATCTTTACATAACATTCTATCAGTAGTGGATCAAAGCCTTGAGAGTGCTGGACTACAGTAATAATGCTTTCGATTTCTTTCTATCTCTGTGTAGCGTAGACTATCTCAGCTGTGTTCACCTTGTGTTCATGAGTGTTTACCTTGTGTTCATGAGTGTTCACCTTGTGTTCATGAGTGTTCACCTTGTGTTCATGAACATATTCATTGTTATCTCTTCTTGTCTATTCCATTCCATTTTCATCTGAACTTTCAATTTCAGCTATCTTCATTTAGTGTTCAACTTGATAATGCAGCTAATGCTGGGCTTGCCTTTGGAGATGGTCCACAAGTGGTGGAGGGTGGGATTTGTTTATTCCCTTGGAGTGGTAGCAGGTGAGTTCAACATAACCATATGATTCTAAACTATTGAAACAGTTCCATCATACATGTATAATAATAAGTAAACTCATGCAATGTAAGATCAGTCCATTAAATATCTCAACATTTTACATTTAGCAAAACGTTTTGGAGAAATATTAAAGCAGAGACATATAAAACATGTCTCTTATTAAATGAATAGTCTAAACAGTTGCATGTGTATGCTGATAAACTGGAGACCCATTATGAAGAGAAATACTAAACTAGGAATTTTGTATGATTCTAGTAGAGGTGAATTACTCCAAGGAATGATCATATAACTTTAATGTAGAGAATTTAAGAATTAATTCAAAAGTTTCATATTAGGATTTGAAAGGATGAGTCTGGGAATGAGTCTGGGTATCGACTTAGAAAATATTGAAAATTGTAATGTCTGAAAAACCAACTCAATCACACATATTATTAAACTTCAATATCTTATCCTTCTTCTGAGAGTACAAAAATATCAATTTGTATCACAATTAATGAAGAATATTGGCATCAAAGACAGTGCATATCACTTTGTCAGAATTGAAAAAAAATCAATGGCAAATATTAAATGAAATATTTATACAAAAGGTTTGAAACATATCCTCCAAAACATTGCTTACTTTCTTTGTATAGACATTGAATGGCATTTCTGGATAAGTGAATTGGTGTTTATCTGGGTAATCAAGGGATTATAGTCACTCAAAGTTACCGAGCATCCAGTTTTGAGACTTCAATTGAGTTGGTGAAGTTACACATATTTCAGTCAAATTCATGCTGAGCACAACATTCCGGTTTCAATTTTATAATCTCTATACATGACCCTGGTGATGAAGAGTCAGAATCAGTCAAAAAACCTAAACCGGAAAACTGTGCTCATTGTGAAAACTAAAAGTGAAGCAACTTTTTTCCTGATATTTCTTACATCAAATGGCAGCCATCTTGTTTTTCCCCCTTCAAATTAAACTGGCGGGAAATTCAAAAATTTGAAAAAAAATTTAATCCTTAAATATATTTCAAAATTATGATTTTCTTTTAAATTCTTCATGGGTCTTAAGTTATTTCTTCTTTGCAAGTCATACATGTTGCCATTGAGGTTTTTATTCTATGATAATGACTATTTATTTTTGGTTAAGATACTTATTCTGACTCTCAGCAGGGGGTTAATTTTGCATCAAAACTCGTGAAAAAGTAAATATACTTATCAAATATAACTAGGACAGTAATAAAAAACATATTTAACATACATTTGACTGAGGGACCAAAAGGGCATATACCCGGACACATCCTTTTCAAAATTGCACAGATTAAATCTTCTCACATGCAGAATTTGAAAACGTTCCGAAATGTCTGAGTCAAAAAAGATAAAATTACAATATCTACAAACATTGGAAAAGAATTCTGAGGAAGCACTGATTTATGCATAACTCATCTTTCCTGTTTTGCTTGTATATAGTTATGCTGATTTTTAATGAGGAATTCAGCCATGTTTTGTTCAATAAGGCATGTTTTGTAATTTATTTTACAAGATTAGTACTGCATGAATTTTTTCTAATGGTTGAAGTTTTACAATAATATGAATTATTTCTTAAGTTACCAGGGTTGTTTCTGTATGTGCAATGATATTCCATATCCCTTAATTATATCTGTCCAAATTGTTTGTGCAGGTTGACCCAAATGTGCACGAACAGGGTGGCCATAAACATCAATATTTTTTATTATTTCACAATGACTTTGATTTAAAAATATATTTGATGGAGGTGCAGAAGTCACTTTTGTAATTGTTGCTGAAATGGGATGACGGCTCTTGAAGGATTTCTTGATAAGAAAGGTTATACCAGACACTGACACTTGGGGGCTGAAGTAAAGTAGATGTACATGTAATATATATACATTTATCCTATGCCAAGTAGAGTTTTAGGGAGATAAGTTGGTAAGATATATCCTGTATCCTGATTTTGAGGTTTCCATATCCTGAACCTCCATATCTCCCCTCATATCTCCCGCCCCAGGGCATATCTTCCCGCTAAGAAGAAAAAGTTTGAAAAAATAAGAAAAAATTGAAAAAAGAAAAAAAATATTAAAAAATTGAAAAAAAATTAAAAAATTGAAATATTAAAAAAAAATTGAAAGAAAATTAGGAAATTCTACTTGGTATAGGATAAAGCAGTTATGTATGGTCGGTTTGGATATTGGGTTCATCCCTCATGAGATATGCACATCTACCTTCGGTCCCTACGGTCCCTCAGGTAGATATGCATATCTCCCTCTGGATAAACCCCATATCCAAAACCTCCCAGTACATAACCCTTATGTATATACATTTCTCAGGATAATATTCATAGCATCAATTTTACACTGATATTTAGTCTCAAATAGTAGTACCAGATTGATATCTGAAACAGTCTGTCAGAGACATATAGATTAGGATGTATATTCTGAAATTATTTCCAGGCAAAAAATAGAATATCAGAAATATCAAAATACATAAGAGGAAGAAAAGCTAATTCAGCATTAAGGAAAAAATTAGAAAATCTTCCTATACCATACATTGGATTTTTCACAGATTTTACTTTTGGTTAGGAAGATCAGTAATGTGCTAGATTAAGACCATAAATTAAAGATTTTGTTTTTTCAATGTTCATTGGGACTCAGATTTATAATTTACTTTATCTCCCATCTGCTTCAATTTTTATCTTGAGTATGGATTATAGTGTAAACATTTTAAAATCATAATGTATAGACTTATGAGCAGTTAAAACATTTGAGGTAAGTAATAGTTATTGAATAAGATCTGAAACAATGAAACAGTCACAAAATATGGTTACCAGAACATGAACATATATTTAGAGATCTCTGATAGGCTTATCTGTAATAAAAAATATATTTACAACAGTGTAGGCACCATCTGATAGACTGTTTCAAATGTCCATCTGCTTCCAATATAGAGGGCATATCTAAAATGTAAAATCGTACCATCAAATATTTCCTTGAAATGTTTGCATTCACATCCCTATGACTGTAAACCTTTTACACAGTCAAATACTGGAATATTGAGTTTTTGGCCACACCTGTATATATATATTTCTTTGCTGGTTTGCAGATTCTTGACTAACCTATAGTTGATTCATTGTTATCTTGACTGCCTGTTGTGACTTTCTTAGTCTCTCTATAGATAATATAACTAATACAGTTAATATGTTGCATGGCTATTATAGGGTCTCTGGGCCATTCTGTAGTTGATACAACAACTATGTTGGCTGGTGCCAGTGGAGGCTGTTATGCCCTCATAGGGGCACAATTAGCAGCTGTAATTATGGTAAAGACAAAAAATGTTAATAAGATAAGTTAATTAGAAGAAGCAAAAAAGGATTGAACTAAATTGAACACATTTTTCTCTTTACCAGTCAAAATCCATCGCTTCCAATTCATTGATGAAGTGAATCCAGATAAATACTATTTTGTGACCAGGATTGAGAGGACTAATATGATTTTTGAAATATCAAACACATTCCCTGGTGTTATTCACTGGAAAGTAGTAGTTGTAATGGAATTAACTGGACACATATCAGATCAAGGTAACATTCAACTCCCTAATTTTGTATGGCAAAATCATCATTACAGTGTGCTCCCAAAAGCTGTAGTTAATTGATTATTACTTTCAGAATTGGAAGGAGATGACACGAGGATGCCAAGATGGAGTGGTGGAATTTATCAGCAGTGCTCCAGTAAGATTGACACTCATCCTGGTCCTAGGTAAGCCAATATAACATTTCACTACACATAAAGGATAACATGTTTATTCTTTTTGGATAATTACAAACATGAATTCATAAAACAATTCCCATCCTTCTTGGCCTCTCACTATTCTAACTTTCACTCATTCCTAACCAAACTGATTTGATAGATGTATCTTAGTTGATTTAAATCAACAGGTTCTTATTGTTCTTCTACAGGTGGGGCTGATACAGGGCTTGCTATATATCAGAGGTTTACAGGGGATTCCAAGGGGAGTGTAGGTTTTGCTGCACATTTTGGAGGCTTTTTAGCAGGTAACTCTTTATGTTTATACTCTTTAACGTGTAACTCTCATTGCTAGATCATGCTAGAAATTTAAAAGTCCCTGCCCCATTAGCAATTCTCCACCCCCCCCCCCCTTACAGGAGCTATGAATTGTATGACAGGTCTTGGAATCTTGGTTTGGTGATGACATATAAAAATGCTATACAAGCCACTGCACAGTTTTTATCTTATAATTATCCCATCGAACGAAGTTCAGAGGGATATAGGGAACGCCTCCGTCCGTCCGTCCGTACGTACTTCCGTACGTACATCCGTACGTACTTCCGTCCGTCCGTCCGTCCGGGCAATAACTCAAATACCGTTGGCCCGATTTTATTTATATTTTGTACACATATACCCTATGGGGGTAGAAGTTCTGCTTGAAAGCCGATTTTCAAAATGGCGACCATTTTAGTGCCGATTTTACAGTAATTTAGGTGCAATATGTAAAACTGTAATAGCAATATGTTTTGAATGTAAAAAAATTATATAGGACATTAATAAAGCTAGAAATGAAGATATTAAAAAAGCACATGGCAGCCATCTTGAAAAATGGCGGCCTTTACTCGTTATTTTACGATATTTGCTGTAACTCGAAAAGTAGTGGAGCGATTTTGTTCATATTTGGTATGTGAATACTATAAGCATGGCACACTGTCTAATGACACTTTTGGTAGAATGCGGCCATTTTGAAAAATGGTGGACATTTTGAAAAATGGCCGCCATTTTTAACTTATTTTACTAAAACTCGAAAAGTAGTGGAGCGATTTTGTTCATATTTGGTATGTGAATACGTATAAGCATGGCACACTGCCTAATGGTACTTTTGGTAGAGGGCGGTCATTTTTCAAAATGGCCGCCATTTTAACATATTTTACTATAACTCGAAAAGTAGTGGAGCGATTTTGTTCATATTCGGTGTGTGAATACTGTAAGCATGGCACACTGTCTAATGACACTTTTGGTAGAAGGTGGCCATTTTGAAAAATGGCGGACATTTTGAAAAATGGCCACCATTTTAACGTATTTTACTATAACTCGAAAAGTAGTAGAGCGATTTTGTTCATATTTGGTATGTGAATATTATAAGCATGGCACACTGTCTAAAATGGTGGACATTTTGAAAAATGGCCGCCATTTTTAACTTATTTTACTAAAACTCGAAAAGTAGTGGAGCGATTTTGTTCATATTTGGTATGTGAATACGTATAAGCATGGCACACTGCCTAATGGTACTTTTGGTAGAGGGCGGTCATTTTTCAAAATGGCCGCCATTTTAACATATTTTACTATAACTGGAAAAGTAGTGGAGCGATTTTGTTCATATTTGGTACGTGAATACGTATAAGCATGGCACACTGTCTAATGACACTTTTGGTAGAAGGCGGCCATTTTTCAATATGGTCGCCATTTTAACGTATTTTATTATAACTCGAAAAGTAGTGGAGCGATTTTGTTCATATTTTGTATGTGAATACTATAAGCATGGCACATTGTCTAATGAGACTTTTGGTAGAAGGCGGCCATTTTTCAAAATGGCCACCATTTTAACGTATTTTACTATAACTCGAAAAGTAGTAGAGCGATTTTGTTCATATTTGGTATGTGAATATTATAAGCATGGCACACTGTCTAATGACACTTTTGGTGGAAGGTGCCCCTTTTGAAAAATGTTCGATGGGATTCGCTACGCTTTGGCGTTGCCGTTGTTCTGGTTAGGATGTCATTTTTATCATAAACTCATTTTACAAAGCACATTACCTGTACATATCTGTAACAAACAAACTGATGTACACAGTGTATGTAGCACAAGATATTTATTACTGTTTTTCTTATGCTTTTCAGGGCTCCTTTTAGGGATATCTGTTTTGAAGAATATAGATAAGAAACCTTGGGAGACTGTGTTATGGTGGATCTCCACTATAATCTACTGTATTCTCATAATCTTCTGCATTTGCTGGAATGGATTTTACCCAGGATTCCCTGACCAGGATTGGCGGCCATGTTGTCCTATCACATGATAACTATGGTCTAGCAAACTGTTTTCCCATTTATCTTTAATAAACTTTGTTAGGGATTAACCTCTTGAATACCCAGAATGACGGATATATCTGTCACAAATAAAATCCATTTGGAACCCAGAGCGACAGATATATCTGTCACAGAATTTTTCACTAAAACTGCTCTAACTTTGGCATTTTTGGCCTACATCTTAAATTTAATTGTAAATACCATTTTTATTTAACAAAATATAAGTGCTTTCTTTTAAATGTAGTCTATATGTAGTTGAAAAGTTAATTTCTGTTACACCGCAACATATGGCCATTTGAAGGCTAGCGGCATGATTTTAAAGTGTATATTATATATAAGAAATGAATTGAAATTAAAAAAATTATTCAATTCAAATGATGAACATTTTAGAGTAGATTGCAAGCATTTGCATATTACACTTTATGTGCAATTTTTCTTGAATATAGGCACAGTCAGAAAATATATATTTTTGACATATGTTCTGTTGTTTTCGGGTTGACCCCCCATGGGGCGTGTATTCACTTTATAAAACATGAACTTTTTTTCAAAAAATTTAGATATCTCTTATGTGTAATATATGACTTTATTATACTCATTGACAAATGAAAGCCATTTTTAGAGTAAATTGTATTGTTTTTCTGATTTGAAACTCCGAGAATTATGTAGCAACCTGATTTTGAAATCAGCAGTATTTTGAGATTTCTTCAAACTATGGCTATACTATACTCAAATCAAAGATATTTTTGGAGTAAATCTAAATCACTATCATTTGCCTTTCTTACCTCGTCTAAGTCCGTTTTTTTATTTTTTTATTTTTTTTCAATAAATCGAGATTAATAAAAGGTAATGACGACTTGGGCAAGTCTATTGCCTTTCACGCTTCACAATATCAACAATGGCCACCTAATGCAAGAATTCTCAATAATTAAGAGATCTCTTCAAGTATGACTATATTATACTGACATATTATTAGTGACTGATGAATAATTTTTTGTGGGATTTGCTACTCTGTGGAATTGCCATTTTCTAGCTGAACATTGTACCAGACCTCACCTAATAGTTTCCTAACAATCGGGAATAGATGAGGTTTACAATGTTCATTGTGATATTATTGCTGACTGTCTAGAGTAGTTGCAATATTGAGTTAAAACATCCACAGCAATTATTATGAGAATGCTCCAAATCGAACAAGAGCGATATACAAAACTGAAGAAAAGCCCAATTGAGGAAAGACTCTGTCGATTGTAATACTATAGTAGATAATGAAGAACATTTAATGATGAGGTGCAAAAAACATCAAAATGAAAGGTTATTATTACAAACTGAATAATCCTGTACCGCAAAAGCACAAGCAAATAAGGGATATAGAGAAGCCATCCTTTCCTTCGTCTGTCCGCCCATTCGTCCCGTCGGTCCTTTCGTTCGTAACGTAAGGGCGAAAACTTTTCGTTGTAATTTTCAATATAATTTCTCAGACTTGATTGTCACTAAAGGCCCAGTCACATCTGCTCAACGGCGACTGTACGTCGACCGTAGATTACTTCCATGAAATCGCTAAATTCGTAAGGCAACTGTAGAATCTACGGTCGTTTTAACGCCTCGGTACGAATTAAAGGGGCAATAAGGACTGTAGAGAAAATAGGAACGTTTTTCAATTTTTTCTAAGCTATCAAGGCAACATTTGGTTTAACGTCTTCTTTGACATACTTATTTTCTTAAAATGTATGGATAAATTATCAATTTCAGCATTAAGAAGTGTAAATTCAGTTCAAAGCTTCAAAAAGGGGACTTCCACTTTTATATTTTTAAGATCCACCATGTTTCAAGAGGAATATCAGCTAAAATAATGTTTATCTAGGGGGTTTCTTTGTAGATAATAAAAATAGATGTTAGTTTTGATGAAATATCCAAACTTAAATATATTGTGACACTGGTCCATGATCGTTGAATGACCCCTCTGCACTAATTATTGCACTTTTAAGTATCCAATTTTTGTACAGACCGTAGAGCCACCGTATAACTATTATAATGATGGGAATGCTGGGTTTAAATACAGAAAACAAAATATCGTACACAAATCTGCTACCTGGTGGCATGCTATCTCGCTGCAGTTTAATACGTAATACATGTAATACTTTGAGACCCAGTGAAAAATGCTCATCTTATTCTTTTCATCTTCAAATTTTTACACAAGTTGAAGTAATGGTATTACTTATAGAATTTCAGTAGCAAAGCGACTTCTGTCTACGTTTTGTAAGGAAGGCCTTTGTAATATTCTCATTTAGTTTTGGGTACAGTTCAATCAGATACAGTGACTTCTAGCTAAGTGCAAAGGCAAAGGGATATTTTTTAAATGACCATAAAACTGACTTGTATAAAAAAGAGAGTTTTTGGTTAGGAATATCTGACCTGGGAATACTAAACCGTTTTATTCCAAGATCTGACCAATGGGGGAGTGTTTCATTGATACAAAGTGAGTGTCACCTATCAAGGTGTATACATGTATATGATTGGTCATCGGAAAGACTGGGTGGAAATGACAGCTTTACATGTTAATCTAAATTTTAAAAGTGTATCTCATAAACACTTATCCACAGTAAAAATATTACGTCCACATGTGGACTCTCTTTATTTATGTGAGATCTCTTTATTTTCTAAAATCTCTCTTAAGACGACTAAAATGCTCAAAACTAGGATGTGTCACCTGGACCATAAGGGAATGTTAATGTTTGTACCAACACTGCGCCTTTTCACAAATTTATTTTGTGTGTCCATGTCATTTCAAATAATGATTTTACAAACGAAGAGGCATGTTTAAAGTGAATTCAGATTTTTAAGACTACGATATACTCTCTTGAGTAAATGTGCCCTCTTGACGTGTCCTCGTTGACACGAATTTTGAACGTGGTAGTTATCAGCATGTATGTTCACAAAATATGGATGTCTAATATCCAATACAACATCAACTATAATGACTGAATGACACTATTGAGCACAGGCAGGTTTGTTTTATAATGCTAGTTTCATAAATCTGAGAGACGATATCGAATATACCACCCCAAAATGCGATCATTTAGCGGTCATCGTCGTCACGGCAATTTGAGGATCTTATGATTATAAATGTCACATATAAGTGTTAAATAATGTTTGAATTGCGCAAAATGTTTCCAATAAAAACATCCTGAAATAAGCGGATTATTAGCAATTTCAGAACACAGTGTTTTAAGTTTAAAATAGTTTATTTTTGTGTCACTGATATTACAATATACATATAAAATACATAATAAAAACAACATTTTGTAACATCACCAGCCGGTGCCGACTTACGAGACACAGTATACATTATATCTGAGTGTCACCCACTACTACCCCCAATGGGCAGCTTGGGTCAACACTCATAAAGACAGAGACATATAATGTCTCTGGTAAAGATTTATACATTAATAACCAATGATATCAATTCACAACTCTGATTAATCAGTTTGGCATAAATAAGCAGTTCGAGATGGATATTGCCTAATAAATACATATATTGCACTAAATGTGAATTTATAATGCATATGGTAGAAGACAGATATTTTTAGACTTGGGGGACAAGATTTAGGTTCAACATTTGACACAGTATCTAAAATGTTTTTACTTAAGATGTATTAGTTATTTAGTATTTTAGTCTCATAGGAAACCTATTTTAACCATTAAAGTTTTAGTGCAATCTTAAAGATTCTTAAGACTCAGTTTTAGATATATTATGTTTTATTGTAAAGACGCACCTTTGAAAGTGTGCCGCTGATACAAAAGCGTAGTTCTGAATAAATAAATAAAATAAATATTACAATAAATACATATATTGCACTAAATGTGAGTAGCATGTTGCATATGGTCAAATATTACAAAAAATATGAATATTGCACTAAATGTGAAATACACAATGCATATGGTTGAAGACAAATATTACAATAAATACGTATATTGCACTAAAGGTGAGGTGCATCTTGCATAATAAATACATATATTGCACTAAATGTGAGTAGCATGTTGCATATGGTCAAATATTACAAAAAATATGAATATTGCACTAAATGTGAAATACATAATGCATATGGTTGAAGACAAATATTACAATAAATACATATATTGCACTAAATGTGAGATGGATATTGCATAATAAATACATATATTGCACTAAATGTGAGTTGCAAGTTGTCAAATATTGCAATAAATACATATGTTGCACTAAATGTGATTTGCATGAGTGAATAAATAAAACAAGAACCCCATAGTTAATATACACCTCTGTAGTAGTGTTTGAGACCATCTTCCCCAAGGTCGATAGCTCGAAGCACTAAAGAGAGGCATCATAAAACCAATGAGCTTCTGACTAGATACATTTTAAATAAATATTTTATAAAAGAATCTTAGGTGACATGCATACTCATTTAGTGCCTAGCCTTTATAGCCTATCAATATTAAGAGATCTCTTATTGCACATATTGTAAACTAAAGCTCCTAATGGTCTTTGGAGTGAAGTACAATTCATAATGGCTGAGATAATGGAGACAAAAAGAAGTGTAGAATTGGCTGATGTTACATCTAAATAAAGCAATTTCTGTTTAACATTTTCATAAAATTACATCTTAGATCACCATAATGGCTACATTCTAATAAGAAATGCTTTTCATCTTCTACACAATCCATGTCACATAATAAGCATTTCCTTTCGTGTAATGGTATACCTGTGTAGCGCCCCGTTTCAATTGCTAAAGGGAAAAGTACCAGTTCTGAATCTCGCAAGTGACCTACGGTGATGCTTCCTTGCAAACACCATATTTGTTCAGTCTATATTGCCTAAATTTATTGCATTAATTTCATTATTTCTATCATCCCATAGTGTTATGGATAGATTTATCAGAATTTCGAAGAGTTAGTAAACTGTTTTAAAATGTCCTTGGTATGACCAGTGATATTTATATCACATGTATTTAACATTGAATTAACTTTAAAGTCCCAAATGCTTTTCCGCTTAATGGACCATTCATGTATTTTAAAATTC